TTATTTAAAACCAAAGATCCTACCGCCAACAAAGAAAATTCCCTTAGAAGTTGCTTCAGAAAGGAGCATAAGGACTTAAATTGCTTCTATTTAAGAGCCATTGCTTTGACCACTTTCGTTTTGGTTTCCTGCTTTTAATATACAGGCATACTGCCGTAGCTAGTACCAATTCTTCGTCCATCGCAAACACCACGCACTTCACAGAGGGACAACAAACCGCGACTGGCGTGACGCGACCATGAATGTAGTACCCCTTTGGACGACATCCGTTTGGAAGTCATCCATTCGGATGTCATCCATCTGGAGCGATCGTGAATGGCGGCCTTTAGAGATTCCTTCTGAGACAGAATGGTAAAGTGTCTCTAACATAAAATTCTGATTATTCAGCGCGCACTTCAAAACAAGTTTCATAGTTTGTCTAATTTCCTTACCCAGAGAATGAACAAACTCTTTATGATGCTGGTAGAAATGCAGATAACTGGGCAATTTCTCGGCAACAAACACAGAGAGGAGATCGTGGATGAGCTCGCCCTCCAAAAATCGAACAGGCTTCAGTGCAAGCAGTGGGTCCAACAAGAAAGTGTTTGGATCTGCCAAAGCAGCCAAAATACAGCGCTGCGCATCTTCTCTTGCTTGCGACGCATTCTCTGCTGTGTATGTTCCCAATAACTCAACCATAACTTTTGAGGCCAATTCACTGTAACAACCAAACAAATAGATAGATTGAAGTCGGCCATCTTCTGGGTTGTAGCGCCTTGTAGTCTGGCAGAAGATTACCAACATTTCAGCAGTCCTTGCTGCCTCCATCATCAAGGTGATGAGAGATGATGGAGGCAGCATGGACCTCTGAAACACTAGTTAACTTCTACCAGACTACACGGTGCAACGATCCAGAAGACAGCAGTCTTCAGAATCACCGCCGTGATGTAATGGATGTTCGAGAAATGGATGGTAAAATGGATATGAATAATGTTTTGTCCAGTGTCGTCATTTGTGCAGTACATAGAAGTTTCAGGTTCAATAACATCAGAAATAAATGCCAAACAGTTAGTTTACCCAAAACATAACAAACTAAGTACATGAAGACAAACCTTTGTTTACAACCCAAAAGGACTTCATGAAGAAGTCGGAGGAGTTTCTGCATTTGTTCGTTCGAAGGTGGGCAGCCAGCAAACTGCTGTTTCAGATGGTCCACGTCTTTAAAAACTGCTCGAACTTGATCTACTTGTTTGGCCACCTGTACGAGGTGGTAATACACGTGGTAGCGCATCGGAGAGTGTTCATCCAATGACTGAAACATCAGCCAGCCACTGCAAAAGGAAGCGCAATGATGTAGTCTAATCTCTTCTTTCAACGTTAAATGAATCACTGCAAGATAACAAATTTGTTTTCGTAACTTACACCCTCAAAGACACCATTCCTAGTTTATATCCTGGTGCTTTTGTCAGTTTCTCACAAAATGCAAGGATTAAATTCTCAGCTCTCTCAACAGGGATCTGAAAAACAGAAGGAGAGGGTGCGACGCAATTAACAACGAACAACAAAGAGTGGTTTCCGGAGTGCACGTGGCTTATCGCCTTGAGGATGAGGAGGCGGAAACACGAATTAAATTATGATGCAAGTGAAATAAAGAGCACAATAATTAACTCTTTAAAGACCAGCGGCAAGTACATGTCCCACCTGATGATGGCTGTCTTCTGGGTTTCTGCGCCGCGGAGTCTGATAGAAGTTTACGAGCATTTCACAGGTCTTTGCTGCGATGCATTATTAGGACAGTGAGTCATGATGGAGGCAGCAAGGACTTCTGAACCGTTGGTTAATTCCACCAGGCTACACGGCGCTGTAACCCTGAAGACAGTCATCTTAAAGATGAGTGTCTTCAAATATTACTTGGGTCCCATCTGCTTTAACAGTAAATAACTCATGTAGTTTGTATTCATGAGTTTCACGTGTTTCTCAGTGTAAACAGGAGTTATTTCATAGGATTTGAGGTTCTCACGGTAATGAGTTTGAATACTGCTGTCTTCTGGGTTGTTGCGCAGTGTAGTCTGGTAGAAGTTTACAGACGTTTCATAGGTCCTTGCTGCGTCCATCGCCCTGATGACGGAGGCAGCAAAAACCTCTGAAACATCGGTTAATTCCGCCAGACTACTCGGCACAACAACTCAGAAGACAGCCATCTTTAGGAATTATTTCCCTGCATAAGGGTTATCAGTTATCTTTGTAATGGTGAAGAGTTGTGTTTTCTTTGAGGTACGGACTGGATTCTTAAATATTATTTAGGTATGCTTTGGCTCCAGGATGAACCTATGTTGTCCTGATGTACCCAAATGTGGAATGTGAACAGTATGTTTCAGTGGCCCTAACTTGTACTTCTGGGCTTGTTAACAGATTATAGATTCTTGCAACGATTATACACATCTGTTCTGAAATAAAGGACTTGCGTCTGCCAGTCACTTTATCATATGTGGACTGAAGACTCAAAGGACATGAACATCAAGTCACAACCACCAAAACACAAAAAATATTCCAAAGTACTTAGACATGGTCAACAAGGGCCTAAATCATTACTTATGAAGGAGAGGAAACAGAGACACCAAAGGGGTTCCCCTTTGGTGTCTCTGTGCATCTTATATCCATCGGTATCAACAGAACTGAACATGACAAGACTAACAAAATTTATGACAGGTTAAGAAAAATCAGACATGGCCATCATCAGGTATATTGTGTGACATTATTCATCGCGCCAATTTTAAGCAACCAAGTATTACTTTCATTGACAGGTTTTGTTCCACAAATAAAACATGCTGGCTAACATATGTTACATAGTTTTAAAAGTTTAAAGTTAAAGATTGTAAGAAATGGTGGCACAACTTGATGAGACTTGTTTCTTGCTTTCTGTGATTTTTGACGTAAATACGTCTATACGGAAGGGTCATTCGGCAAAAAAGTGTAACGAAAACGTGTAAGATCCGTATCAACAAATCGACAACAATGGTTAGTTTGCGTGCAATGTTATGTTACCTAGGAAACATCATCTGTTTACTCGGCATTGTTGTGTTATATTACTGCCGTCAACAATCCGCTTTCGTAACAAGATGGATGACATTGAAGATAACATTACATTACATTTCACTACTTTACATTACATTTCATTACTTTACATTACATTACATTACAGAGACGTAAATATAAATTAAATAGAGAGACGTATTTACGTCAAATTCTCCGGAACCGTGGTTCCACTGTCAATTTTTGTTATATCTATGGAGTGTTTCCTGTTATGTACCTTTGATTCAACCAACACCCGATTAAACCAATGCAACTAGTCACCACATTGTAATGATATCCATCAAGGTAATTTCACCGTCTTGTACTATAAACAGTCAATAATTAACTTACCAAAACTAGCATTGAAACAATTCCATTAAGAATGCTTTCAATTTCTGCATCAGGGACTTCTTTGAAACAAGCATCACAAACTCCAATTATTTTATGTAAATCA